CTCCTCTGCCTTTTGTCTCCACTATCTTTCACCTAGCAACACATCCTGTAGAAAGTAGAATACTTCTACATGGACAAACTAGAAGACTAAATGGGATGTTTTGCACCACAAATTGACTTAGTAGCCAAGAATCTACACCATGCATAGTTTCCTCATTCACCCAACAAGTTGGTTTTGCCTCTAACACTGAGATAATGCAAAAGTGCAGGGGAGAGGGTGACTGACAGTTTGGATGCTGTAGTGATTAATGAGTGGTACATGAGCCATTTCTTAAACCAGCTGGCAAGGTAGGAACTGAAGTAGATGTGTCAGACCTAGGCGAGAGCCCTTGGAGGGACAAGGGAATTGGGGTTACGGACTGGTAACCATCTGGAGGAGTGATGAGAAATGGATCGGGAGACTGATTGGTGCTGATGAGGCAAGGGCCTTTGGGAAAACTAAGAGTGTGGGGGGACTAGGGAACTGGGGTTACGGACTGGTAACCATCTGGAGGAGTGATGAGAAATGGATTGGGAGACTGATTGGTGCTGATGAGGCAAGGGCCTTTGGGAAAACTAAGAGAAAAGTGCTGTAAAGAGCTGAAGTAGTTCAGTGTTACCAGGCCTGAGTTTGAGATGAAACTATAAAGACCTAGAGAGGGAGAGACGTGGTCTGAGGCTACTTTGCTAATCCATGTAGAGTAAAAGGAACCTGGAGTTGGGTAGTAACAGGAAGAATGAAGTGGTTTCTGTACTCCATTGAGCTATCATGGGCAAATGTACTTTCCTTATTCATGTTACAAAATATCCAACAAAAAGAACCTAAGAAAGGAAGAAGGGTTTGATTGGCTCAGGCTTGAGTTAGGGTGTGTCTATCATAGTGGGAAGGGAAGGAGCTGAGAGCAGCCCACCTGGAGTGGCAGGAGCCTGAAGCAGCTGGGCAATTCCAACCTCATCCAGGACGAAAGGAAGAAAGGAGAGGGAACTGAATTCTGGTGCTCATTTTTCCATCTTTATTTTGAAATTAGTCTAAAACCCCACATGTACTTTTCATTTTTTCCATTGTTGTTAATTTACCTGTCTCATTTCTAAATATGGGGAGACCATGTCACCTACATCTTTCTCTCATGTGCGTGTAGACTAGAACATTGAAAAGAAGCAAACTCAACCCCCATTCACTGAAGTCTATCAGTATGACACTTTTCTCTGTAAAATGGAGATAATAGTACCAAGCTCCTGATTTAAAGGCATTAACTGAGGTAGAAGTAAATTGTGATATAGGGTTTAGTGTGTTGTAATTGTAGACAATGAGTGGTTACTATGGTAACCACCACCACCATTGTCATTACCTACTAGTGTACTTAACACTGGAAATACATGTCCAGGTGTGGTGGCTTACTTATATTCTCAGCACTCGGAGACGTTAAGGTGAAAGAATTACCATGAGTTCAAGGTCTGGCTTGGCTACATGAGTTTGAGGCTAGTCTGGAATATATAAAATGCATCCTGTCCCCAAAATATGAACTAACAAACTAACCAACAATTAACTAAATAACAAGAAAGAAAATTCTCCACATCTTCCTAATGAGTGATTCGATGGTCCAGGCAAATTATGGCAAAGTAATCTCTACTTCAGTTTGGTTTTTTGGTTTGGGTGTTTGTTTATTTTTTGTCTGATGATCTGAATAAGATACTGATTATATGAATGCATAGTTTCCGGTACATATGTCTACAACATGGGTCTCCATCTTGCTTATCTAAAAGCTGCATGTGAATGGCATAGGTGATAAAATTAGAGCATCAAAGAAGAGTGTGTGAAGACCTTTCCAATTATTTCCATTTGTTTAAAATATCATAACTTTCTGTCTGTCATCACGCTGTTGACAGACTCTCAGGTTTCTGGAGCATGATCTGTCTGAGTGGGTACCACAGACTAGCAACTTCCCAATTACAGAGTTGCTCTGTTTAGACCCAGTTACTATGCTGTTGGCTGGTACTGTTTGTTTTACTCTTTCGGAAGCACACATCATAGTACATTTCCCATTGTGTGCTCATCTTCATTCTGTGTGTCTATTTGGGGAGGATTATAGAATGGGAGTAATAATACACTGCCACATAAAACCAGCCTTCAGTCGCCCATGACATCATCTTCGTCTGTAAAACAGGAAGGGAGGAGAGAAGCTATGTCTGGAGCAACACCGGCACCATTCTCTACACATCAAGCTTCTTATGATTGGAAAGGGGTCTACAACACAGTGATATTAATGTTTGAAGATGGCATTGTTCCAAGGTGCAAATCTAGCTGTCATTGACTACAAAAGCTCTGTGCTCATGTCTCTGTAAGAACACAGCATAGAAAGAAAGAATCAGACTCCATTCTGGTGGCTTAGGTCCCTCCTCATGCCACTGTTCAGCCATAGGTCCCCTCATGATTTTCATTGTTCAAGTTTTGAAAACCCAGCCGAGGTATTATTATCTTAATCTTGGAAAAATGATTTTTGTATCATAGCATATTGTGGCATATATAATTTGAAATACTTTGAAATCAAGGATTCAAGATTATTCAACAAAGGATAAATTCTTAGATTGTATTTCAGAAAGGGAATCTGACAAATTATTTTATCTGACAAATAGAATTTGTTTAAAGTATTACTATTCTGCTCATTCATAAAATAAACTCTTGCTAAAACTATAGTCATATGTTCTATTCCTTTGCAGTCAGGAGGAAGGGTGGCTGTCCAGGGCTCACTCAGTCTCCCTGCTTTCCTAGAAATCAGCAAGGGGGCTGATGGGAGTCACTAAGCACAGCTCTCAGTTCTGTTGACAGAGATTGAAAGCGGTAGCAGCTGATAAGGTTAGTGTGCTGGAGGTGGGAGCTAGGTTTAATTAGGAGTGTGGACGAGGCCTTTGGGGGTGGGATTTGGGCCTAAGATTATGCTATTGCCTGGGTATAAACTGTTCTAATTTATCTGGCAATTTAGAGGAAATCTTACACTTTTTCATGTCCTCATGGTATGGCATTACTACTGAACAAAGCCTTTTCAGAACTTTGAGTGATAAACTAAAAGTACAAAATGGTGTGCAGGTAAGCCAAGCTTTTCTTTCAGTAAAAGAAGAACTGGAGGAAAGATTCGGAAAGGCGGTGACAGGAAAGCCAAGGAGAAGGATACAAGAAAATCAGTCTTTAAGAAAGTTGTAGGGAGAGAAAAATATGCCAGACGTGGTGAGATTGTTTCATCTTTAAGCACCTTAATTGAGCATCTTAATGAAATTACTTGGCTTTTACGAAGGGGTAAGGGTATTGTGAGATGGTTCCAGAAAGATGAACAGTCGTGTTTATAAGGCTGTCAGTAGTGAAACATCACTTCATGAAAAGCACTGCTCTCCTGCACTGAAAACAGCAGTCACCAATGTTGCAATTTTTCCCAAGGCCGCTGAGAGACGAGCACATTGGGTTGAGATTCCACAACCCATATGTTACTATATGCACTAGGGAGACAGGCTTGCCTTGGCTTGGTTTTGTTGCTGTCTTCTTGGGAGATGAGGCACAGGGCTTGAGTTTCCCTTGCCTAGGACTTCCTCTTTGGTACATATGGAAATGACACTGCCTACGTCTTACTGTGAAGAAGCTTATAGCTTACAAGTCTCCGGATTCCCAGGGAACGGGGCATTCAGTGCAGTGACTGTATTTAAACCAGGCCAGTTCTCTGCCTCCCTGTCTCCCTGTCTCCCTCTGTTTCTCTCTTTCTAAGGCTGAGGATCAAAACCAGTTCTCTAGTATGTTAGGTCAGCAGTGTAGCAGTGAGCTATATCCCCAGTCCTACTAAATCATTCTTCATCATTTAAGTATGCTTTCAAACAATGACCCTTCATTAGAAAGCAGTAAATAAATAAATAAATACCCTTTACTTAGTGTTTACTGTCCCTTCCCCCCACCCCCACCAACCCCATGGGAAAAGGTAGAAAATTGTGCTGTGTAATACTGATTGACTGGGAAACTCACATTCTAGCTGTTCAGTTTAATATTCCATAGGAAAAGTTCAAGCCATTGCTAAGGAAGTTGTATATAAAACAACAGCTTCAGTTTCACATAGGTGAAACTTGCCTAGTCCCAAGTGGGCAAAGCATTAGAAACCCTGGGATGCCACGCTGAGAAGGTTAAAGAAATAGCCCAGTAGTTTTACCATTTACTAGTGTGCTGTCCACTCATGGACTGGCTGTGTTTACTCTTGGAATTGATTTCCAATAAATTAATAGTAATAATACCTAAAAAAATTGCTTGGATTCTTTAATAGTTCCTTTTCATATGCTGATAAAATACACCCAAAAAAAGCAACTTGAGGGAAAAAGGTTTGTTTTGGCTCACAGTATGAGGATTCCGTCAGTCACAGAGAAAGTCACGGTGTCAAGAATGCTGGGTAACTCCTCACAGTGCTTCAGCAGTCAAGGAGTAGAGAGTGACAAGGCCATCTGCCTTCTCCTTTTTCTGCGGTTCAGGACCCAAAATCATGGAGGGCTCTTGCCTGATTTTAGGGTGTCTCAATTGACCTAGAAAGTTTCCTCCTTCACAGATGTGGCCAGAGGCCAACTACAATATAGATAATGTCTCACAGGAGCACCAAGAGGCTTGTCTCCTAGGGAACTCTAGATCCTGTCAAAAGAACAACAGTAGGAAACACAGACCCCACACTTCTTTTTTGTTTTACTGTGTTGTGCTTTGGTTTATGAGACAGGGTCTTGTTATGTGCTTCTCACATTATGGCCTAATATTGAATCAAGCTTCTGCCATGCTTTAGTAAAAGTCACAGAAAGATTTAAAAACATAGCCAAAATGTCGCCATGCAATGTGAAATCCTTACTATGTGTCTAGAAGCTTTAATGGAAAAATTTATGAAATTTTCAAACCAGGTACCTGACAGGAAGAAATCTCTTTTGCAGTGAAAAATAACTCAAAATGATCTTTACACTGGAAGAAATGGAAAGGCTCCTGACTTGATTTTCATGTTACATTTATTACTAAAATTGTTTGGATTTTCAGTCCAAGTCATTCACATACAGTCTTTGGGGCCAGAGAAAAATAGAAATGACAATCTAATTAGCCAGAGAACAGATTTCTTTTTGATAGCAAAGTATGAACTGTGTAGCAGTTACTTCTGCTTTGAATAGAAATGAAGTGTGAAAATCTTTTAAAGAAACATTCTTGCAATTAATGTCCCTAATTGATACATTTATTTATCCAAAGTTTTAAGTCATTAGTACACATACATATCTATGATTAAACCCTAATAAGTGTATGCTCTTCAGGGTGCATGATGCTGTCAAACATGAGACATCCTCATAAAACAAGGGGACAAGGATCTATGCCACCATCACACTCAGAGTTCAAGTTTAAATCACCTACTAACTAATGCTCCACACCCATGCAATGATACAGTGTTCAAATTCACTGGGAGGAAATGCTGTATTAATGTCTCTATGATTGGCATGCTCACCCTTTAGAGCAGGTTTAGTAAAACACTATGTAGCTTCTGGAGATTGAAATGTGTCTTGCAACAAATGTGGGCATTCCTTTCAAAGCCACAGCTCTTCTGTACAAGCACTATTATTTGGAAAATGAGACCCACTCATTTTAGTCTTGTTACACCAGTAGTTATCAACATCTTCCCAACTGTAAGAGCCTGGATCTCAGGGTGGCTGAATGTCAGTGATGGAACTGTATCACTTTTTAGCCAACTAGAGGGAAATCCCACAGTGGACCTGGTACTGATTTGCAGTGGCATTCTTGCTTTGCAAAGTTATCTACATAGTTTGACTTGTTGAAGCATCACTGACTGATGAAGACACTCGTGTTCTCAGGAACAGAATGTGAAGCCTGTCTGTTGCATAGGATAAGTTCAGATAGTGCAGTGCAAATGCTAGTTTTGGTGTGGTGCAAGCAGCGAGTGAACGCTTTTTATAATAACATAATATCTACAACATCTTCTTCTTTTGAGTCTAGTGAGTCTTAGCAAAGAGTGTGATGTGAATCAGCTGGAAATAAAGCCTAGGGCTTTACAAAAGAATGTAGCAGGATAGAATGTGGACCCAATAAATAACATCTTTTCTGTTAAGTCCCAAGTTCTTGAAACAGCCTAATCCAGAATGACTCAAACACTGTGATTAATTTGAACCTGATAAAGATCAGATGTGCAGGATTCTTAAGACTCTACTAGCCTGACGTTATTCTTTTAAGATTTAAAAAAAAAACTCATAGGTGACAATAATGATATTTTATACTTTAAGGGAATTAACATTATATCAATTTTATATAAATTAACAGTGAAACTTTTGCTGTTGGGTTTTTTTGTGTATGTGTGTTTGTTGTTGTTATTGTTGCTGTTGTTTTTTTGATTGTTTTGGTTTTTTGTTTGTTTGTTTGAGACATGGTCTCACTTATATCCCAGACTGGCCTGGAATTTTTGCCAGTCCCTTTTCTTCATCCCCAGAGTCTGGGGCAGGCATATGATGGAGCCATACCTGGCTAGCAATCAAATTTTGGAAGCAGTCATCCATTTTCTTGCCACCTAATTGAACAAATAAGTATCTGGCCACTCACACCACCTTTAGAACTTACTGTGGTTTCTTCAAAGTTTTTAAAAACTTCTAAGATAAGAGACTGTCTGCATCCTCATGGCTCATTTTTATTCTGTGAAAGGTATCATCACAATGAGAAGATGAAGGTAGAGTCAGGAAGGAAAACTAAGCACAATTTTCCTTTTTTTTTTTTTTTTTTGAGAGACAAGAAGATATTAAATATTCAGGAATTTTTCAATTAAAAAACATCCTGGTAAACTTGATGATGATATGGAGTACTCTGAACGCCCTAGTGTTTAACCCTTTGTGGGCATGGCAGTGAGGATCAGCTGTTCAGCCTGCCTCCTGGTCATGCTTACAAAGCATGGGTTACAGGAGAGGTGAGTCAGCCATCTAACTTCCTCCGAACATCCTAGAAGCAGCCCTTGTGTATGCTTCTCCAGCATGTTTTCTGTAACCAAGTAAGTGGTCATGAACAACAGTTGGGTAATGACAGGCATCTTCATCCACCACTTCCTTAGATCCACTAATATTTTATCTTTACATCATCCCTCACTCCACATAACACAAAACCCGCCACTTAGAAATTCCTTTTGGGACCTTTGGTGACGCATTTCATGGCACTAATGACCTCATCCACTCCTAAAGGTAATCTGATACTTATGTGATGAGCAAGACATCAAAGGTCAGTCTACCGAGAGAATCTCACAATATCAGAATTGTTAAGAACCTAAGCAATGAGACAACCCAGCCTTCTCATCTGACAAATGAGAACAATTGAACTCAAGTCTTCCTGTCTCAGGCTGTTGGCTTTAAATAGATTGGAAATCAATCCAATGCCTAGATTTGTGCTTCCCATCTATTGTACTGTTTCCTCCGAAGTCCATCTGAGTTGGGCAGTTCCCTGACTCTGACAGATCCCTGTCTAAGAACATCCCCATTTCAGCCAGGCACAATGCTGCCCACCTGAAATCCCAGCACTTGATAGGCTGAGACAAGATATGGGTTTGAGCATAGCCTGGGCTACAAAAGGAGCATCAAGGCAGCCAGGGCTACATGGCAAAGCACTGTCGCAAATGGAACATCTCGTTTCAAGCCTTCTAAAACACTTGACCTGCACCTAAAAAATGTTTTGGAGAAATATTTGAAACGATGCCAAGGAGACTCTTTTCTGTGTAATTATTATGCTTCGTGTCAGGCTCTCCTTCGGAATTTATCCTGATAGGAAGGGTGGGGACTAGTCAGAGGAAAGGCTGGTGGCATGGGGAAGGGCAATGGGCTGACAAGTGGATGGAGCAAAGCATAATGGTCCATGCATATAAACATGACAAAATGAAACCCCTTCCTTTGTATGCTAACTTAAAAACTAATAAAAGATAATTTTATATCCCTTGCTGTTAGAACTACTGGTAATTAATATACCATATCCTAATAATTCCTTATTGGACTAAAGCATGGAGAAGAAAATGTTGCATTCAGTTTAATTTTGTGAACTTGACTTACATGGGACTCCTTGTAGATGGAATTAAGATTTTTGAACTATATATAAATGCTAAAACATCAATGCAAGAGCTTTTCTTTGTTGTTTGTTTGTTTGTTTGTTTGTTTTGAGACAGACACTTATGTACCCTAGGCTGGCTTCAAACTATGTGCCTGAGGATTATCTTGAATTCCTCGTGTTCTGCCTTGCCTCATTATTGGGTGTGTTCCACCACACCCTGCTCACAGTGACTCTAGGCTTCCAAGCAGTTCCTCAGGCATCAGGAAACAAGGAAGTGCTCCACACTTGTGTGTTTACACACATGTGCACTCAGGTAAATGATCCGTGAAAGCCACACAGGACTAAAAGTGGATTTAAGTCTATTTAAGAAGTAAAGAACCCTACAAAGGATCACTAACATAAGCAATGAAAACCCACAGAATTGTCACACTGGCTCTCACGGTTGTTGTCTCCACCCCCGTGGCTGTGGGTTATAGTTGCAACCACCTAATGGAAGACCATATTCAGACTTGGTCTCCATGGACATTATTTTTGGGTCATATCTGGACTCCTGGCTGTAGCACATATATGGCGACTGGGAACCGTATACGGAGTGGGTGGACATGTGGCTGTTGACTGGGGATGGAGCATTATACTCTTGTCTTTCAGAGAAGCTCATTTTGGTCTTCTGAGTTTGGGGGGCAAAGGACAGTCTCTCTTTCCAGTCCTCTTGGGACGCTGTAAGCGCCTTCCTCTGAGCTGCGGAGACTACGTTCGCCACAATAGATTCCTGGATGCTCCGGGGTCTGAAGGCGTCATCCACTAGACCAAGGGGAGACCTGGCTGCTGCTTCCCAAGGTGTTGGTCTCTTGTTAGCTTTCTCCAGCCTGAGGGTCGGCTTGCCAGAATAACTGTGAGCCGGCTGGTACTGCCAAGTACATGCAGAAATGATGGGTAGGGCTGATTTTCCAGGAAGAGAAAGGGAGCGCCCACTCTCCTAAGAACAGAGAAAATGTTATTACATCTCATTCGCTTCTGTTTGTTCTTATTATGGCAAAGCACTCACAGTGCGGTTACCAAGCACTTCAGCCCTGAAGCCTGGATGGGCTGTCTTACTTCACTCATTCTAGCTCTGGTCTGCTGCTGAAGCCCCACACCTTCTTTTGGCCCTCTTTGTTGTCATGCCTCTTTGCTCTCATAGTTCACACTGCAGACGTCTTTCCCAGGAGTAAGCTCACCACTGGGACCTTCCCTTCTCTCTGCCCTTCATACACCCACAGGCCACCTGCTTCATTCCAGTCTTGTTTTTCCTGGCACAAAAGAAACAAAACAGAAATAACTCCAGAAATGGGCCACAAATTCCTATAGCTTTTACTTTTTCCAAGTATATTTGTGTTTGGTTGGAACCTCCAACTCACCCCTGAACAATCTGGAGAGCCCCATTCCTGTCTCTCTCTCTCCAAACCCTGCCTTCTCAGAGAGTTTCTGAATAAAGGGAAGGCACCAAAAAGCCCAGTTGGGCATTCTTGGTGGCTACTGTAGCTTCCTCCCCTGCAGTTGCCAGCCACTCAAGTCCCCACCTAAAGCGCTCAGCTTTTGACCATACTTGGGCACAAACCCAGCTTGTGGTGGATACATATCTCCACCACCACCACCACCACCTACAACCTATAAAGTCTCTCTGCTTTCATTTGTGGGCATAGCTTCTCTGGTCTGGATCTCTGGGACTGGAGAACTCACCCTGGAGTTGCTTTGCTCAAATAAACCTGTTGTTGTTATACCTTTTCTATTTGACTTCATCTGGCTTGCTGCATTGGTGTAAAAAACCTATTTGGGGTGGAGTGGCAGAGAACCCATTAGTTTTAATTGCTAGACTCATTTTGGTTCACTGAATCCACTAAAAGCTACTTAGAAGTGGTTACTTGTGAAGGAGTGACGGGCATCTCTCCTCTCAGAAACTATTCATGTGATGAGGATCATCTCTCTCTCTCCTCTCTTTTCCTTGCTTGCTTTAGAGACATAGTCTCACTCTGTAGTTCAGGCTGATCTCTGGGAAATCTTACTAACTCAGCCTCCCAAGTGCTAGGATTGTAGCCCTGAGTCACCAAACTCTTGTGTTTTTAGTTCCCAAGGGAGAGGCATGGCCCCTGTCTCTAAGGGAGTCACTCTGCTGGTCTCATTTGTATTTTGGCTCCAATTTTATTTTTATTGCATCCCAGAGTCTTTCAGAGTTTGGCTCTCTGCTTGGCTGGCTAATCCATAGCAGTCTGGCTTATTGAAAACTTGACCCTTCGCCCTCCTGCCACCTAGGAACCCTAGCCACCAACTATCCTCTGTACTTTCTCCTGTGTTCATTCCTCTTTACGTGAGACTCACTTAGACAAACTGCAAGGAAAAGAAGCAAGGGAAAATGAGTCAACTTTGGAAGCATCAAAGCATCTTAGCGAGGCCTGGTGGTAACTACCTATAATTCTAGCACTTAGAGCTGGAGGCAGGAGAATCAGGAGTTCAAGGTTAGCCTCAGCCTCATAATGTTAGAAGCAAGCCTGGACACCCACATGCGACTTGTCTCAAGAAACCACACCTACACCCACTCCATACCTACAAAATAGGAGGGGGAGGAAGAGGAGACGTGTTGAACAAAAGACCATGCTTGAAGATGGATTCAAATGTCCCAGTTTCTAAACATTTCTCACATAACCAAATAAGTGAATAGCAACACTGATTTTGAGCAAAAATGTCTCAGGCTCAGCTGGGTTTTGCTTTTCAACATACCCCCCACCCCACCCCGACACACAGGCATACCACAGGAGATGACTGGCTCTTGATTTGTGGACAAAGAATAAAGGTGTCAATACAGTAAATGTTGGTTCTCTTCTTTTAGTTACTAAAATTTGCCTACAATGCTTGAATTCCAGCAAAACTTGTTTCAACTGATGTCTTGATCTTAATCCAGAGCTATGGGCAAACCCTCCTCACTATAGAGAGGGCAGAGTATTTCATCACCTTTGACCTACACTACATTTTAAAATTTGACAACAAAATTGCACACATTTTATGTTACTTAAGTTTAGTTCCATAAACTTATTTATTACCTTTTATGGAATATCTAATACTTCCAAACACTTTTCTATGAGCTAAAGACACAGAGACAATAAGTTCCATGTTCTGGACCACAGGATCCAGGACCATTTAAGGACCAGGGCATGTCCAACAATTACATAGTGAAAAGACACTACCTACTTTTATAGGAGAAATGGTTTTGTTTTGTTTTGTTTCTAAACTTTGAAAAAAGATTGTCTGTGAAAGAGAAATAACTGACCCCACAGCATGTGTCTATGGGAGGATTGACCACCTTTGGTCTCCAGAGTCTCTGGGAAAATTCTTAGATTCCAATGATACCTGCAGCAGACTCATCTGGTCAGCTCTTCTAGTATGTGCCAGTGGTGACAACACCAGAGTTGAGGGGACTGTAGCAGATAGAGGAACCCAGGACTGTCTAGAAACACAGGACAGACTCTGAGGTATGATATTTCTAAAACACTAGCTGAAAGAAATTGATTTTCTGCTCTTCCTCCCAACTCACTTATTTTGAAAATCTTAAGAGGAATCAAAACATAATAGAAATGGAAAGTTCCAAGTATTTTCAGTGATATCCCAGATGAGGCGTTTTATCAGCTAAAACAAATATTTTAGTCAAATATGTACAGAGAAAAGTAAAACTTTGAGATGTGCTGATGAAAGAGAAAGGCAGGGCTTTCTGAGGGGGAACATTAAAAATCATATTGAAGAGCAAGTGAAATTCCACCTGGAATGCACGTTTGCCCAGTATGAAGGAAGGCACTGTCAGTTGTGAGGAGGGAAGAGTCATCATTTCAATGAACAAACCAAGTATGGTCCTGCCACATGCGCCTTCATGACCTTTAACTGCTGATCATAGAGGACAGACTTGTAAATTATCGTAGGTTGGAGATGTAATTACAGTATAAATAACTCTCCTTTAGGTACACAGTTCTGCGTGTGTGTGTGTGTGTGTGTGTGTGTGTGTGTGTGTGTGTGTGTGTGTGTGTGCCCCAAATACAAAACGCTTCTATTCTCGAGTTCACCTGAATCCCTAATTTTAAATCTCCACATCTTGTTCATTGGTGTTATAAACTTCTTTCCATCTCTGTCTCAAGGCTCCTGCTGCTCTCTCCTTAGCTGGTGATTGAAACCATGAGACACACTTTGATGCAGAAACAACTAACAGACCTGAAAATACCAGAAGCATTTCTTCTGTTTTGAAGTTTTCATCTGGTATACTCCAGCACGACCCCATGGACTGTGCCTCCACTGTGTGCTTTACCATTATCAAAGGAATAAAAAGAAGTCACTTGTTTTATTTGTTATCATGTGTGTGTCAGTATAGGATATGCGACTTCCTGAGAATGGAGGTCAGAGGACAGTTTTCAGGAGTGGCTTCTTTCCTACTGAGGGATCTAGGACTAAATTCAAGGCAGACTTGGATGGAGACTGTTTTTTACCCACTGAGCTGTCCTGCCTGGCCCGAATGAAAGTTCTTTTGATAAGAGAGTATTTATCATTTATTAGTAGCTAACGTGTCAAGTTGGCTTTTGTGGTGACCTCATCAAATTGTTTCTCTTTTCTCCATTACCTTTGAAGTTTTGTCTAACAAAAGGAAAGAAGTTTGTTTTTTTTTTCTCTGCCCAACCCCAGCAGGTCCCAACATCCTGTTTATTGTAGCTACTCAAATTACCCAAACCAGGTTTATTTTGAATTAGAAGGCTCCACCCCGTCCAAGCTCTAATTTTAACTCAAAGCGAAGAAGGCTCCTGCCCTTTCCGCATGGAGTCTAGAGGCTCACCTGCTGAAGGGAAGGGGTAATGTAGGACCCTCTCTTTTCTCTCCCAGCTTGCTAATTCTGACTCCATGGGATGAAGGGCAAGGATGAAGACAATCAGAGAGAAAAGGAAGTTTTTCAGTAAACACTGCCTTCTTGGGACAGACAGTTGAGGGGGAGCTTTTATGGGATAAATGCAAAGATTGCTCCCTGAGGACATAGCCCATGGTTCTTGATGCTTGCTTATCTTTGTGGGGTGTGTGTGTGTGTGTGTGTGTGTGTGTGTGTGTTTGACACAGACAAGAGTTATCTGGCAAGAGACACCTCAATTGAGAAGATAACTCCACCGATTGTAGGCAACTTTGAAAGGCATTTTCTTGATGAATGACTGATGTGGAAGAAGCCAGTACATTGTGGGTGGTGCCATCTTTGGGCTATGGTCCTCGGGTATATAAGAAAGCAGACAAAGGAAGCCAAAGTCAGTAAGCAGCCTCTGTTTCAGTTTCTGACTCCAGGTTCCTGCCCTGACTTGCTCAGTGATGGAATGGAACTTGAGTTGCTCTAAGTGAAATGAACCCTTTGTCCCCAGTTGCTTTTGGTCTTTGTACTTCATCTCAACAATTAAGACATTGCAATTTCTCTTCATTCTAGGAGGTAATTTGTAAATCGTTTGGCATTCACTTAAGTAGCTGTCTATCTTAGCTTGTAGCTGTTGGTTTCCATGGTGAATATGCAGCTTGGTTTTCCCTTGCTCCTGCCCTGTCCTGGTCCATGAAGAAACACACACCGTTTGTAGGCACAAGGCAGAAAATTTCCTGGTTCTTTGCCCACACAGTTTGCCAGCTTATTTTTCCCCTTCCAGAATTCCTGAGCATGTCAGGTCATAGCCCTCTCTGACCCCTCAGCTGTCCTCAAACTACCTCTCATGTCAGCTTGTCTCAGACACGTCTGAGGTGACAGGATAGGGTCCCAGAACATCACCCCTCCATTGTCCTTGTCTTGCTCTGGCCTGTTTAGTTACATGGACCTGACTGAGGAGTCCAAGCACTGAAAAAGAAATATGCTATTCTTATCTTTGTAAAGCTCATTACTCTGTGGTGAACTCTCATGTCAGTGTGCACAGCTCCTATCTGGGGTTTCTTGGCTAAAACACCACA